ATTATTTTTATTATTATTAATATTTATTAAATATATCTACAGTAACTAATAATATAATTAAAGATTAGATATTATTTATCTTTTTTTTTTTCTTTTTAAATTCTTAAAGTTTCATATCATGTTGTAATAGGCTATAATTAATTTATTTTATATAAAAGATTGTTAATATAATAATAGTAAACTAAGATTTAATAAATTGTTTTGTATTTAATATTTTTTTTACAAAAAAAGAAATAAGTATTATGTAACAAAAACTAATAGATAATTGACTTGATCAAATGAAAAACGTAATTTTAATTTTTATTACTTATACAATAATAATAATTTTTCAAGATAAATTATAGCAACAAATCAATATGAAAGCAATTTAATATAACATAATATACAGTATATCTAGAAATACAAATATACAATATATTAAAAAAATTAAGTGTCAACAACTAGTTAAGAAAAAAATTTTTTATTTTAAAACCAATCTTCAGGAAAATTACCTTTAAAAGCTTGAAAGAATTTGAACACGTGAAAACTCTAATTTAATGCCTAAAAAAAAATAGAATCCAGAAGAAAACACGATAATGTTCTCTAGCTCTTTACAAAATCAATACCAAAAGCAACTAGAGGGACAACATAATTTCTTCAGAAATTGTAGACCGACCACAGCTCGCTTCAATATCGTACGAAGACTTACTGCCGGCTTATCCAAACTTTACCAGCAACTATATGAAAACCAGAATGCGTTACACGCGAACGCGAGACTTGATCGATCGTTTATAAAAGATTTTATCAAGCCTTATGAGATGCTTGCGCATCGATATCGCGTAATTAACAAAATAGGAAGGGGTACTTTCTCTCAGGTAGTATGTGCAGAGGATACATACTATCCTGTGAGACATTTAGTAGCCATTAAGATCATGGCACCTCAATTTAATTCCATTGGCATACAGGTTCCTAGGTCAAAATATTGTCGGTTCGATTCCTGCTTTAAAAAAAACTTTATTGATTCAATACTCTTTACACCAGGAAAGCAAAACGCTTCTCTATTTAAACTTGCACGCCGACAGCGATAACATTCACCTTGTCAAGATCTCTAATACCTTTATGTTTGAAGGTCATTTTTGCATGGTGCTTGATTATTATGAAGGAGGAGTTCCACAGCTTCCTCGAATATCAAACGAGGAGTACAGGCTACAGGTTCTTCGCAAGTTTGCATGTCAACTTTTAATCACATTGATGTACTTGCGAAAATGGGGAATCCTGCACGCGGATCTCAAGTTGGAGAATATAATTCGTACTAAAGGTACAACAGATTAATGTTTTAAGGATAGTGCCGAATTGATCTGCTGCTAAGTAATGATGTGTTGTGTCAGCTACATCTCTCGATCTTAGAGTCATTGATTTTGGTAGTGCAATGAGAATAGACGAGGTTCATGTGTATTTTAACACTTTTGAAGCTCAAACACTCGCTTACAGAGCACCAGAGGTGAGAGAATTTATTATAGCATACTTATGAACTTGTTCAATTTTTTTTTTAATGACTTAATTATCTTAGGTGATTATGGGACTTCCTTTTGGGATTGAAATTGATATGTGGTCATTTGGTACGTCATATTTCTCATGTTTTATGTATATAACTTCGCGAATGACATTTCCGTTTGCTTTTTAACCAGGGTGTATTCTTTGCGAACTGTGGCTGGGGTACCCGATATTTTATAGTTCGAGCAAACATGGGGTTTTAAGAGAGATCGAGAAACTTTTGGGTCCACTTCCGGATTCAGTATACAGATACGGGAAATTCTTTTCATATTATAAGGCACGACCTGATGGTGGCATTAGATCATCAACGGGAATTGAGGATCAGAATATGTAACGCACGTTATATAGCATTGATATCGTAAAGAATCTTTATAATCGGCTAAGCGTAATTTAATATTTAGGCTACGAATTGAGCGAATTTGCAGAGTTCTCAAGACTCAAGATATTAATTTTGTCAATTTTGTCGATTATATTTTCAACTGCGATCCATCAAAAAGGCCAACACCCTCAGAATGTCTGTTTCACCCTTTCTTCGCGCCACTTTTTCCTTTTAAACTTTTGTTCGATAGTCATTTGGTAACCGCTGCAATTCGGACGGCGTTCGTAAATGGGAATAATGACCAAGGTTATTGGCATGATGATAACGACTCATTAAGGACTAGTCACAATACCAAATCAAATCTTAATGGCATCATGCGAATTTACGATGATTAGCTGTCAATTATCAAGAAAATCGAATTTTTTTATTGATTTCAACGAAATTTGGTAGTGAGCGATCAAGATATTGGTAATGACACATAAGGATGCAATCAGGTAAAGCCTGATATAGCACAATAATTAATTCGAGATGTTTATGATTTTCATTGACCTAGATACTTAACGGATCGATTTCAGGTCCTTGGAACCGACGATTCATATAATAAGATCGTCGGGATTGTTGACATATAATAAATTTCGAATCGTAATCAGCGTCTTTTAACTTACTTTTAATTTTTTTAACATCTTCAATTACTACCAACGATGCGATTGGAAGTTGCATGTGCATGTATCGAGTGCGAATAACTTGTTAAGGTAAGGTGATTAGAGATGTGTACGCGTGAGCGAAGTGAGAGTTAACATCACATTATGTCAAAATTACTATTAGATAGATTGTTGAGCTACACAGTTTACACATCAACTAAACCATTCCTGTGCCGTGATGACAACACCCAGTTGCGAATTCACTGCCCTCGTATATCGATGACAGAAATTTTTATTTTTACAAAGTTCAGCGGTAAAAGATCAAAAGAAAATGTCCCAAAAACTTTTACCTAAAAATTTTTTAGAATTTTAAAAGGATGAAATGTAAAGAAAAAAAAATTACAATATAATGCAAAACGAAACTATAACTCATATACATTGTATCTTTTATCTTACAAAAAAAAAACACAATGTGTCATCATATGCGAACAGGGGGAACCCGGTTGGGAGATATCGACCGCGTCTTCGGTGATGGACTTGGTGTATCATCAGACTCGTTGTCAAAGGTGGAATTGGATGAAACATCTACGTTATTCCCTCCATCATCACCCTCTTCCTCTTGAACATTTTCATCGGTTTCCATCAAATCACTTTCGTCTTCGTTCCTAAAACAATTTAATTGTCGTTCATCCTCATGTGTTCCTGACACAGGAGTCGACGTTGATTGTCCATCTAGTTCGTGAGAAACAGTCTGATATGCTTGTCTTCCATTATTATTACGTAGCGTTATTGATTCGGATGTATACAGGAATCTCTTCAACGAATCATCATTCTCGTGCATGCTGGCCTTACTTCGGCGGCCATTTATCGAAGCATCAGCCTTAGCGTTCGAATTTTGATCCTCGTGTAAATTATGAGAACTGGTGCTTGCATATTTGCTAGCCTCACTTTTTTCTTCACGAGTTTCCGATCTTCCGTGTGCAACGTTGGAGGCAGCATTCTGTTCATTATTGTGCGTCTTCGACGAAATCTCTGAAACAGCCGAAGACAAGATCAATTCAGCAGCCAACGAGAGGTTGTCCAATCCTGAGTGATCTGTATGGTCTGTTACTCGCATTGACGAATACGGGAATGACACTGTTTGTGTGTTCATTTGCATCGAAGAAAATGAAAGCTCAGTGGATTGATTTGGTACAGGGTCGTTTAATTGCATTGGATATGTCGGTTGACTTCCAATTGATTGTGGGAAAGTATAGGTAGGATATAAAACTCGATTATTGTATATAGAACCATTTTGAACTGGTTGAATTGGAGGTGCGGCAAACATAGGATGACCAGAGATTGGTGGCATAGAATACATCGAAGGATAATTTATCCTGTTATGTACTGTGGACGATGATGATGGTGACTTCAAAGATAACGATGAATATCTAAGATCAGCATCAGATAAAATAACATCTATTATTTTTAATGAATAAATGAAAAATCTCTTACCAGCTTATATTGTTCGGGTGATGATAGCTTTTGTGAGGAAAGAACTGGTTAGTGCCGGTACGTAAAATTCAATGTTGTAATCGTTTTCTTGATTGTAAATGGAAAAAACTTACGTGTGTCATCTGAAATGACTTTGCAGATTTCTTGTTGTAAGGAAAATTGTATGTTACATATCCGTTCGTTTGCTGTTGAGGAACATATTCAACTATCTGGCCTACCCTTTCTTGTTTTGATGGACTATGCGGTTGCGTGATCTAAATTCAATGATGATTTATTATTAATTTACAATCTTCAATTCGACTTTTCGAGATTTCTATAAGATCGAATTCCTACTTTTTTCCGTGAACTTCTTCTCTCCTTTTGTCCTGAACGCTGTTCGAAAACATGACGATTTGAAAAACGAGGAAAAAAAACGAAAACACGTGAAAAATGAAAATATCGCAAACCTCTTTACGAATATCCTGCTCCTGCTGTAAACTTGTCTGCTTGGCCCGAGATTCCGCCAATTGTGCATTTGCCTCTTTAAGTTTTCGGCTGAGTATTTTAAGGTCTTCTTGTAACAATTGTATTTCTATGGTGTGCTTACTGCTCTTCTCCTTTTCCTTGTGTTAGAAAAATGCGAATGCTTAAGTTTCGACGACACACTTAAAAAAATTTCGACAATTATAAAAGAAAATTTAATGCATTCCACGCTTACCCTCATTATATGATACTTTGTCATTCCTTCAATATGATCGTTGGCTTTTTTTAGTTTATTATTTGCATCCTTTATCTATAAGGGAATAGGTCGGGTTTCATTATGGAAATTTTCATAGGTGCATGGGTAAAATACATTGAAAGTAAAAAAAAAAAAAAAACCTTTTCCGCGTATTCCCGAGTAGAATTATCTAACATCGTTTCAAATTCGCGAATGTAATGCATAGCTTCTCGTATCTATTTAGGCGATGATAATAATTAGTCCAAACTCGTTTTAGATTTTGAAAATTCGTCCACTAACCATGCGTTTCGCACTTTCAAGATCAAGTTTCTCTATTCCATCCTCTTCTAACATGGAAAATGGTTGAATATCATTTTCTCTAAAAACATCTGTCTGTTTTGGATTTTTGTCAGAATTTTCTTTCGCATGTAAATAATAATTTCATCAAACCATGATCGATACCTCTATTGGATTCGTTACTTGGATTTGGTTCTTTGAATCTTGAGCTGCATTTGATGACGATGGTGTATTTTCACTGATGGGTGAATGAAGACCTAAGCTTGGACTCGCTGGATTTATAGGTGCAGGACCTAGAAATTTGACGGATGCTACATCAATTAGCTTTAGTCATCTCGCATGAAATTTTGTTTCCAATTTGTTACCTCCAACTATTTGATTCTGCGTCTCGGATTCTTCGTCTGGCAATAAGACCAGATCGATTTTCCATCTCGCGTGTTCCCCCCAGATAGCAACCTTGAAAGGATTTTTAAAAAAAAAGAAAAAAATTTTTGAGCTTATCATGTAGATATTCGGTGAGAGGTCTAATTTACACCGAGCATATAATATGTAATAAATGTTTTTCGAAAACCATATTGTTTTGTGCAAACGTTTATTCAACCAAGTGGCTTGATATGGCTTAGAGCGTAGCCAGGCCTTTGAGAACATAATCAAAATTTCCAGTGACTTAACAAAGGAAATGAACTTGATGCGATTATAAAGAATGAATTCTCGAAACAAAATCTTGTAATCCCAGTGCTTAATTTTCGCTATAGATTTGGGATGTGAGGTGGCTACAACCTTGTCGAAAATTCGGCATCGTATAATAGGTTTTAGATAACGATAGCTCATTTAAGTTACCTGTTTCTTGACCGCTTCAAAAATATTTTCAAGGTGCGCTATTGTTGTTGATGGTAATGGGTGTATTGTTTTAGCCGCGACGTTTGGAGGTGAGGTTGAGACTATGGTCGTTACTGGCTCTGTCTTTCGTGTTTGAGAGACGATTTTATTCACGGGAATATGATAAGAATGGGCTGACATCATATAATGGCCGGTATGTGTTGTTAGATTGAATGAAATCGTACGAGATTTTTATCTTATATGTCATCTGTTTAACAGAAAATGCGTGAAGCAACGCTTATTAAACGTATGGTAGAGGGTCACGGTCTTACGGTGTTGGCTGAAAATCCCTATAATGTTCGTGTCTGATCACGTGTCGGGCCCGTATTTTATCGCGTTTGATGTGCCTTTTTTGGGTTGGGTTTGGGATATTTTTTTTCCTTATTCCCTATTTGTCGACAGATAATGACTATATTCCTAATGACGTGTCGTTTTGGTCAATAGGCGGGTGTTAATTATTCTGGATCTTGATTTGGTAGAATCTCGTTTTATCTACTGCAGTTTTTTTCATACATACATACGTTGTATTTTAAAAGTGACTATACCTTGCGAAATCCAATTATCACAAGGTGCACCCCTTGCCAAAAATGGAAATGCTAGGACTTTCCCAACATAAGATTTAATTCTATTTATAAATTAAACCTTTTTTTTGTTTTTACTTGTCAATTTTCATTATCTTTTTTTAAATTATTCGAATAGTTAATCTGATTACAGATATAATTACAAATTAAAAAATAAGCAATAATGCAAAAGTTTTTAATTTTAAAAAAGAAATTTATAAAACATATATTTTTAAAAAAATTGTTTAAATAAAATAAAATTTAATTTTTTAATCAAAATAAAATTTAATATAATTATTATAAATTAAAAATTTTAATAAAATAATTTCAAAAACTTATTATAAAAAAATTTTTTTTTTTTTTTTATATCTAAATATATTTCTTAAATTATAATATAAACAAATTTGATTACATATTTAAATTTTTATAATTTATTTATATTATAAAAAATATAATTTACAATATTTTTAATTAACCTTATTAAGTAAAAAATTTAAAGTAAAAAAATTATTTTACTTTTAATACAAATTAAAATTTTTATAATTAAATTATTAAAATTATAATAATTAAAGTTATTCTTTATATTTTAAACAATAGTTTTCTCAATTTAATTTAAATAAGAATCAATAAACTTATCAAAGCTATATATAAAATCTAATTCAAATATTTTAACTTTATAATAATTAGTTTTTTTTTTTTTTTGAGGGGGGGTTTCCCCTCATAGGTAAGCATCATTTCTTTATTCGATATTGTATATAACATGGTATATATCGTGAAAGAAACAACATCTCTTACGTACATATGTAGCAAGTTAAATGCTAG